GTTATTGGAGGCTTTTCTTAATTTGGAAATGCCAACTCAAGCCTTTTACGCCACACAGAATTATGACTTCTCCATGCACGCAGAAAATTAAATTTCTTGGAGAGAAGGCTGGCTTCTGGCCCATGAGTTGGCAACCTCAAGCCTGCCAGCTGTTATTGGATAGCAGCAACTGACCCTTCTCGTAATTGGCGTTCCAACATTAACGTGACATGCTATATATGCAGGATAACTTGTGCATGGAGGAACTTCAAAGGAAGAGGCACATCCCAGAGCTAAGCTGACTACTTTATCTGCTATTTGTGAGAACGGTCCACCTTTGGCTTTGAACACCAAGCTGTGTGAAAGCCAGGCTGTTACAAGAATTGCTGTCGGAGCTGGGAGCTCAGATTGCCTAAAGATGAAAGTGAATCACAAGATATAAAAAGAAACAATGCTGTAAGTCAGACTAGGCTTGTTATCAAAGTCTGATCTGGGGCCAGTTGGACGGAAGGGCGAGAGGAAGAAGCCAAGAACTTTAAGCCATTTTCTTGGTACACTGGATGTGAAAAATCAAAAGGCCTCAGGAGACCGACCCCCCTCCCGTCAAGCTTTGCTTTAAACCGTTCAGTTCTCCAAACGGATCCAGCTGCACCTTTCTTAAAACAGGGATTCCTGATTTATTCATAGCACTAGGGATGCAGAGCAGAAACACAAGTAGGCCAGAATGAGCACAGCTGGCAAGCCGTTTTTCCATTCCGAGAGAAAAGGAGAGAAGCAATAGTTGGTCTATCAGGAGAAAGAAAAGAAAATAACATTAAAGATNTCCAACGGGGGTCCTGCTTGGAGCAAGGGAGGGGGATCCAACGGGGGTCCTGCTTGGAGCAAGGGAGGGGGATCCAAGGGGGAGCTTGGCTGGCTTGGGGTGGCGGGGAGGGAGGGAGAGAGATGGGAGCTGGCAACTTTGGGTGCCCCAAGGCTTTGCTGGAGGAAAATCTCCCCCCTCCAGACTGTTCCTGGGGGCAGGGTGGTGGGGTGGTAGATCCCCTCCCCCCCACTGGTGGGCTGTGGGGGAGGCGGTTGGGTATCTCAATAAGCCCCCCCCCACCGCTTTGGAACGGCCTCCCCCTCCAGGTTATTGATGGCCCTTTTGCCTCTTCTAGGCAAGCCAAATTGGTTGGGTGATATTTCATTTTTCGGCTCGGGCCATGATTTATGGGTCCGTTTTTTTATCGCTCCCCGAAAATGGCAGATTGTACATGTGGGCAGATTAAATAAAATGGACGTTGGTAGCAGAGGAATGAACGGGGGGACACCCCAGGGAATTTGATCATCGGATGGTAAGTTAGGAGAGGGCACTAGGGATATAAAAGGAATAAACACGCCCAAAAGCTGCTTTTGCTTCTGGCTCCTGCTTTTTATTCCACGATAAGAGCAAAGATCATGTTATTGAAGGCATAACTTGGCTGGAAAATTATATGGACACTGAGCAGCACATTTAAAAAAAAACAAACTACTGGCAGATGCAAAATGCAGGCTTTAAAAACTAGAGCATAAAGCACCCCAAGTTTAAATCTTAAGTGCTTGGCTGGTGGAAATTTTATGGGAATAGTCCCAATCAGTTACAACAGTGCCCCATTAATAGGCTGGAGGAAAACCAGCAGAAAGAATAGTGTTATCAATACTGTTAGGTGGAGAACCCTCTTGTTATTTAATTAAAGGTTAATTCAACCTATAACCCATTTATGATAAAAGAATATTTAAGGATGCTTGTAGATTAGATGCACGGAGCTCAAACAGCAGTTGAAACGTGTAACTTGACATCCTTGGAGAGTTTTTCCTCAATTGATTATGTGCCAAGTCCGTCTCAACTCTTTGCAACCCAATAGATTTTGTCTGTGATATTTAATAGTGATGATATTCTGCACCTAACAGAACATGGTTGCTGTAATGGAGTCAATTCACCTTGTTGCTGGTTGTCCTCTCCTCTTTCCATCCACCTTACCCAACATTAGGGCATTCTCCAGAGATATGTTTCTGAAGTAGGATAATTTGAGCTTGGTCCTTTATTCCTTGAGGGAGAACTCTAGCTGACTTTCTTCCAAAGTTGTCAGGAAATCAAAAAGAAATTAAGCAGATCAAAAAAAACCCCAAAACCCTGAGAAGTATGGAGTCCTAAAAAAATAGGTGAGATGTCTTCAGCTCCAATATTTTGTAATTTTTGTTCATCTCTGGTCAAGGCAGATATGAATTCAAATGTAAATCAGAGTTGGCTCTTTCTTTGCTGTCAACTCTGCAAAACGTTTCCTTGGGATGGAGGGAGATCATTGAAAATTTCCAATTACATCCTGTTTGAAAGCACTCTATATAGCATTTGAACAAGACGGGAAATGAAATTGGACATGTCCGTGCATTTTGCTCAGAATTGGCCTGAGATGGCAATTGAATCTCTCCCATCCTCTTTATTCCAAGTTTTTTCCATGGTCTTTGGGGCACCCCGCTGCCCAACGTCATCCGTTCGACTTAAAAAAACCTGTTTAGAAGTGCCTATTCAACTTCCTGGACTTCAATTCTCTCCCGCAAACCTCCCTTTCGCCTCTCCCGCCTGCAGTAATGAACAAGAGGAACCACAGCAATCACAGAGAAGCACAATTACGTTTAAGCCAATATAGGCAGAGGGCTGGAACTGCGGTCTTGTTCTCAGCAGGTCTCCGCAAAGGCTTCTTTCATTCAGAAAAGATGACTTGCGGGAAGCTGTGCGATAGAGCCCCTGAGGCTTGACGACTAAAACGTTATTTATTTGTACCCCATTATTGGAGGCTTTTCTTAATTTGGAAATGCCAACTCAAGCCTTTTACGCCACACAGAATTATGACTTCTCCATGCACGCAGAAAATTAAATTTCTTGGAGAGAAGTCTGGCTTCTGGCCCATGAGTTGGCAACCTCAAGCCTGCCAGCTGTTATTGGATAGCAGCAGCTGACCCTTCTCGTAATTGGCGTTCCAACATTAACGTGACATGCTATATATGCAGGATAACTTGTGCATGGAGGAACTTCAAAGGAAGAGGCACATCCCAGAGCTGCTATCTGCTATTTGTGAGAACGGTCCACCTTTGGCTTTGAACACCAAGCTGTGTGAAAGCCAGGCTGTTACAAGAATTGCTGTCGGAGCTGGGAGCTCAGATTGCCTAAAGATGAAAGTGAATCACAAGATATAAAAAGAAACAATGCTGTAAGTCAGACTAGGCTTGTTATCAAAGTCTGATCTGGGGCCAGTTGGACGGAAGGGTGAGAGGAAGAAGCCAAGAACTTTAAGCCATTTTCTTGGTACACTGGATGTGAAAAATCAAAAGGCCTCAGGAGACCAACCGCCCTCCCGTCAAGCTTTGTTTTAAACCAAAGTCAAGAGGTTTGCCTAGGTCGACGTGGAAAGAATTTTGTCCCTAAGGACTAAATAAGTATCGTGATCCCTACGTCTCGTCTTTGTGTTCATCCGGTCTTACTCGTGTCGACCGTTCGGCAAAAAGGTAAGGCTCTCTTTTCCTCTCTTCGTTATCAACCAGATAGTCCTCTTTCTTTTCTTTTATTGTAATTTCTACCAGTAACGCGATACTGTGTTAACAGATAATGGCAGCATTTGGAAATCCTTTCACAATTTTTATGCAAATTTGTACAAAAGTGAGGTATCTCTGGGGAAAAAATGGAATATTTGAAAAAACAAGAATTTACAGAAGTTTTCACAATCTCAGAAAAATATACGAGTAGCTCTACGACGTTTGAAATATTAGAATTTATTAAAAAGGTCAAAATAGAGAAGGCACCAGGGCCTGACAAAATAACAAGCTCATACCACAAATGTTCAGAAGGCCAACTTTTGCATCCGCTTAAAAGCACGATGAGTTCTATTTTGCAGGGATCTGCTGTGCCAGAATCTTAGAAAGAGGCTAATATTGCTTTATTGCCAAAGTTAACTTGACTAAAATATTTACATCAATACTGGCTGATAGATTAAAGAAAATTTTACAGGATCTTATTCCTGAGGGTCAGTGTGGGTTCTTACCGAAAGAGATAATGTGAGAACTACATTGGATATAATAAGAGTATCTACAACAACGTAATGAGAAGCAAGCGGCACTGATTTTTTTCTGAATGCAGGGAAAGCTTTTGACAACGTGGTCTTTTATGTTTACAGTTTTGGAAGACATGGATTTGGGAGAGAATTTTATTCAAAGGATTAAATCAAGATACATACCCTAGAACAGAGTTCTTCCACCTCCCTGGCTTTGTGGATCGGGGAGGGGGGAATGGATGGGTCAGTGCGAGTAGCAGGCACGTATATGCACTGCTCTATTTGCATAAGTGGCAGGCACACACGCACACTGCTCGCGCAACTAGAGTGGGCTGGCCTGCTGCTTGCACAAGTGGGGATGTGTGTGCACATCATCGCCCCACCACTTCTGCATCCCAGTTGCAAACGGCTCAAAGCCTGGTAGTAGATTGCGTCCGAGTGGTTGGGGATCCCTGCCCTAGAATGTGCATATTATTATTAATGGCATTGTTAACATAATTTGTTTCATTAAACCACGTAATACACAGAAGAGGACAAAACATCCTCTCTCTCCTTTGCTTTTTATTTTAGTTCTAGAGACATTAGACAGGGTGAGAAAATTATTGGTTTGAAAATTTAAAAAGAGGCTTACAAATTGAGGACCTTTGCTGATGATGTAGATTTGATTTTACAAAGCCTCGAAATACTATTGAACACTTAATGAATGAGGAAATTGAAGACTTTGTGGCATTAGCTGGTTTAAAAGGAAATAAACAAAAAACAAAGACCTTGGTTAAAAATATGAGTACATCAGACCAAGAAACTGTGATTTATATTTTTTTCAGAATGTCTTCGTACAAATGATGTCATTCCACAAATTACAACAGAATTTCATCCACCATGTGCAATATTCAGAAAACCGAAATTCATAAAATGGAGGTTTCACTGTACAAACCAAAGCCAAACAATGTTTATTTTATATTACAGAGCATTTTGTGCATAAATAAGTTCTATACAATCATTTACAGTTATCTACAAGTCTAAGACTGTTGTGGGGGGGGGGCTTTGGGATTATCAATGAAAGATGACAATTTAGCTGTCCAAAGAATGGTCACAGTTTCTGTCCAAAAGTGGTCAAACGCTGGAAAATCCTGCTATAATTTGCCTGAATGTTTGCAATAATGAATTGAATCGGGTTGCTTAAGTCCAAAACGAAGCAAAAAGTTAGCAACAGGAATTAGGCACGCTCTATTTCTTTCACGAGAGTTAAGTTTGTAGTCTCCAGGCCAAAGATGAAAGATTTAATGTCACAAACATCAGCTGGGCAAATATCTTTGTGTGTGCTACTATTGTCACCAAGAGCTATGTACGGCTATCGGCACTGAAGGGATCCCTCTCTTCAGAAACAGGAGTCCATTAGAATCCAAGTTTAGCTTTGACAGAAGGTGAGAAGAAATCCATTCACAAGAGTCAATCTTCAATACCCAATTAGTTATCTGGTTTTGTTTGAGGAGGTCGAGCCGCACGCGTGATGCTGCTTTCAATGAAGACTTTCAAGCCTTGTAACTCTTGGGCGTATAGATATTCCAAGTACCAGTACCATCTCCTCCCCTGCAGATAAAGCATTAGAGTAGTTTACATCTCCAGGTAAAGAAACTCTCCTTTTTTTTTTGTTACGACCCTGTAATTCCTTGCATCCGGGTGGAGTTGGGGCAACTGAATGGAGCTCAAGCATTTACTGGCTGGATGCCCTTCCTGACACCTACATGGAGTTAGCAGCAGACAATAACTCATTGCACCCAGAAAGAGAAATATCTGCCTGCTACCTAGGATTAAATTCATAGCTTCCTGATCGTGAGGCGAGAGCACCAACTCTAGGCCCCCACGCCGTACTTCTTTGCCATACAATATCCACTCATTTTCTGTGCAGCCTCTTAATTCACAGATCAATTTACTAAAGCAAGACCCTAGAAGTACCAGTATTCTGTAATTCAAACCTAGCAGCGTGGAATCGTTTCACTGTTGTTCTCAGAAGCACTGCCAAATTGGTTACAACACAGCAAACTTCCCAAGAAATTTAGTCGTTTCCAAAATGTATGACTTTTTACCTGAATTAGCTTGATGTCTTGGATTTTGTGTTCTGATTGTTCCTGGGGGGAAAAAAAAGGACAATGAAAAAAAATTAAATTGTTTCGTGAGCCTTGAGAAGATATTTAAGAAAGTTATTGGTTAACACGGCCTAGAAACTACATCAAAAACTTGCCCTTTTGGAGAACATGATACTGCTGAAGGACAAAAGGTATCATAATGATGCTTTTTGGGTTCTAAAAAAAAATAAAATCAGGTATATCTATATCGCTTAAGCCATGCCATGAAATTAGGATACGTGAATGCAAACCTGGCATTTTATAATGGCCCTATACAAGTTGGTTTGTATTAGACTGATTTTAGAAAAAACACCTGAGTCTCCTTGAGTTCAACATGAGGAACTTCAGTGAATCAAAAATAAAATAAAATACAATAAAATAAATCTAGGCCACTTACAGAACAGATAACTCTTACTGCCGCTAAGCAATTGCCATTCCACTATAGACTGAATTGCTGGGGACATTTAATTCTCTGCAATGAGCTTCTCACTATTTCTGTCTTCAGTAGTGTTCCTCACCTTATTCTTCCATCTCTTTTCAAGGATATCTCTATTTCATATTATAGTGATTTATTAAATAACCAATCCTATCGGTCATTTTCAGCTTAAGGCAATTTCTGTCTCTGTCAGAAAACTGAATGTGCCTACCAGGCACTGAAGCTAGCAATTGCCAGATCCCCAAAAGGCAGTTTTGTCTTTAGCAATTGAAGAGGAATGCTCATTCATGACAAATCTGCTTTCACCAAATTTAGAAAGAAGGATCAAAATGTTAGTTTTCTATAGTGCTCCTAAGAGATGGGATCTCACTGCATAGCTCTGATGTATTATAGATACTATCGGGAGCTAGAAACACTTCCTTTGACAGACATCTCATCAGGAATAAAAATAATGCTCTTCAGCAAAACAAAAAAAATATGCTGAGGTCTGTACCTCCTCAAGTATGTTGAACTCTTCAAAGGGAGTGGCTGTAGTTTGTTTTCTGGAGATGAGAGACTCCCTCAGTGGAGGTAAACCAACATTTGGGAAATTTTTCCTACCATCTTTTCTCCCTAAATAAAGGCTGGTCCTACATATTAAGAGCAGCTAGATTGATGAGAGATCACAATTCATGTCAGCATGTACAAATTAGCATAATTAATCTGTCTACATAAGAAAACAGGATGATAATGTTGATGCCTTGCCTAAAAATAATGCACGTTTCTATAAATATTAACCTTTAATTCTGTTTCTTATTACTTAGGAAAAAGAAATATGGATCTCGGAGGGAACCAGGGCACCTCCATGGAAAAATCTTCACAGCTTCTAAATTTCTTTAAACTTCTTTTTTTTTTAAGGAATAAAGTTAGATTATTCAGAGTATGTATCATATTGGGCTTAGTCCCTAACTGTAAATAGAATAGTTGACTGTGATAAAAGCAGCACGAAAACCCCTTTTTAAGTCCCAAAGAAAGAAAGTAAAATTAATAGGGTACTGGACAAAAGCAATCATGAAACCTATGTCTTAACGGGCCAATGTCTGCCAGCGAGCTTCTACAGCTGAGAGTTGAATCTAACTCTTTGTAGGACATGGATAGTTTAGAAATGTGATATAAATATATAGATATACAGCTGTAAGGATGGATAGATATATAGATAAATAGATGATAGACGACAGATAGATAGATAGATAGATAGATAGATAGATAGATAGATAGATAGATAGATAGATAGATAGGTAGATAGATAGAATCTCAAACTTATTCTTGAGAAGCAAATGCAAGCTTGAAGTTTTAAAGCATAGTTGCAGCTTGACCACACCATGCCAATGAATAAAAAAAATGACACAATGAAGACTAGTGAAGAACCCAGCAAAGGTTTGGGTGCATTCAGTAAACAAAACCTGACAAAATAGGGAAGATGGTACTGAAAGATAAAAACCTCCATTTACCTGCTGCACAAAGAGCATAGCATAACCTGTCAAGGCAGGATGGTACACTATGTTCAAGGCCTTCCTGGAGTCCTGCACCAAGGTCTTCTCCAGCACTTCGGGCTCCATACGAATCCCCTGAGGGTGGAAGTCTTTCTGGAAGACGTTTGAGGTCCACAGGCATCCGACCATGCTTGTTATATATTGGTTGTATTCTTGGCAAATCTCGTTGCTAAACCTGATCCCCAGTGATGGCTGAGAGGATCAAGGAAGACAAGGTTTGCAAATAGCTCTTTAACTCTTGCTAAAAGCGACTGTTTGCGTTACTTACAGAATACCAGACTCGGATCGTGGGAAAAGGGAAAAAGGGGAAAGGCAGAAATTGCTTTCTCAGGCAAAGCCAGAAAAAAAGCATGGCATCTTTGAACAGGTACAGTAACTTTGGGAAAACAAATTGGAAAGGTAAGGCTCCCACAGAGAGGGCCTCCTTAGGGTGCCGTCGGCCAGTCAATGCCGGCTGGCGACCCCCAGGGGGAGAGCCTTCTCTGTGGCAGCTCCTGCCCTCTGGAATGACCTACCCCCCCGACCTACGTACAACTGCGGACCTGCGCCTCTTCCGCCGAGCCTTGAAAACCCATCTGTTCCATGCGGCCGGCCTGGCGTAGTTTTGATTGTGTTTTGGTAGGGGTTTTTATATGGGGTATTTTAGAGCAGGCTTTTATTTAATATTTATTGTGATTTTTATTATTGCCTGTTCACCGCCCTGAGTCCCGTAAGGGAGATAGGGCGGTATATAAATTTAAATAATAAATAAATAAATAAATAAATAAATAAGGCAGACAAAAGTTAATTACTGTATTGTGGCAATGACATAGCAGCCATTGTGCCTTATTTTATTGTACCTTCTTAGCTTGTAGATATTCTTTAGCAGCTACCAAATTGGTTCGATACCTGAAATAGAAACAAAGAAGAGATTTTTGAGTATTTTTTAAAATTCCAACCCATAAGCGATGGCTAAAAAAAAGATAGCTGACTACTTGCATTGCTGGTCCCATTCCCAACATGTCAGGCATCAAGAAACCTTTCCTGTCCGGTTTTATGGAAATCACTGGTGTTTTCCCATGATTTCAGAACAGAAACCCGAAGATAAAAATACAGGAGCCATTCAAGACAGTTCTTCTTTCCAACCAGCTGGATTTGGTACAGAATGCAAAATGGAATTTGAGAGCCCTTTTTAAAGTTCTGAAGCCATTCCGACTCTGGCAAGACAAATGCCAGATAGGGCACACCGATCGTTTTTCACCACAGGATCTATGTAAAGGAAGTCCTCAGCTTACAACCATAATTGAGCCCAACATTTTTTTGTTGCTAAGTGAGAGCGTGTTAACCGGGTTTTATCCCATTTTAGGCCTTGCTTGCCACAGTTGTTAAAGGAATCTGGCTTCCCCATTGACTTCGCTTTTCAGAAAGTCACAAACAGTGATCAGATAACCCCAGCACACTGCAGCCAGTCATAAATATGAACCAGTTGCCAAGCATCTGAATCTGGATCGTGTGACCCTGGGGGGGGGGGGGGGAGAGAGTGCTGCAATGGCCATTAAGTGTGAAAAACGGTCATAAGTCACTTTTTTCAGTGCTGCTGTAACGGTCGCTACCTGTACTGTATAAGAAGACCATGAAACCCAACAGGCTATTGTGGGAAGAATCGGGTCTCTTCCTTTATAATTTTTCCGTCTTTCTTTCTATAACAAGTGGTTTTCCTAAAAATTTTCGTAAAAAACTTTTCGTCTTTGGTTTGGACCGGAGTAGAGAAACGGGTCCCGTCATCGACCAGAATATGTATACGTCTACACCTTGGTAGTCCTTCAAACCTCGGTCCCTAGAGTTCTGTTTAGAAGCTCTCAAGAGTCATTAGCCCCATCACCTGGGAAGCAGGAGAGTCATTAGCCCCATCACCTGGGAAGCAGGATATGATAATGGGATTAAACCACAGATATCAAGGCCTAGAAAAACACTCAGAAATAGCCTCAAAGTTCATGCCACAGGAACAGGAAACTATTCCAAGCAGGGCTAGAGGGTATAAAAAGACCTTCTGCCCATGTGCTCCCTCTTTCTTCTCCTCTGCTGCTTCTTGCAAAGACCATCTTCTGCAATAAACTGTAACCTTCTTCCCAAAGCAGTCGCCATGTTTGCTTATTTATTCCCTGCTTGGATGAACCAGGATGAAGACTTACTTCTAACACTATGCATCTAATGCAGAAGGCAGGACACAACTTCATCTGGAGGAACGACAGTACATCGTTCAATCACTATAGAAACTGGAAATCACTCCATAATAAGCCCCAAGTACTCTTCCATGTAATGAATGTAATTTTCAGTATAACTCCCAGAATGCTTCTTTCCAGGTAGCTTTTGAGAGGAGGCAAGTAACCTAAAGAATCCTAACATGGTATTCAGCAACTGGCGAGTTCTCAGATGCAAGTATTAGAAGCAAAACTGCTGAACAACGACCTTGTTAAGCCACGAGCCTTGTATAAAAACAAATCCAGAGTCACAGTTGACCTCAACAACCCAGTTCTTTGCTGTCCACTTGCAAACAGGGCTTCGTGTCCCCAAGTAACATCACTATGTTCTACACAATTACAAGCTTCACCGAAATTATTCTTGGAATTTTGAGACTTATCTGTCCGTAAAATCAGGTCAGATTTGACCGATATGATGTTTGTGCAGCGCTATTTAATATTAAAAAAATTACTCTAATTTCACAGAGATCGCTTACAAGCCCATACGGAATCCCTGTCTGAGACTATTCTGTCCCTTTCAGACACTCTTCGTGGGGAAAAAAGCATGAAAGCCAGTAACCAAGGCAACAGTAAGGTTTAAGAGAAATAAGATCTTCAACTGGGAATTCATTCCTATAACTATCTTGTTTGTCAGATTTAAGCCCTGGCTTCTTGGCCAAAGGAAGCTGATCTTGGCACAATGCTAGCATTTTAGGGAAGGAAACGATGAGGCGATGAAAAGATATTTCTTCCTAATTCGACATAAAATAACAAGTGTAGGGGTCTCAGAGAACAATTCTCAAGCTAAGTCAACAGATTCTTTAAAATGCAAGCCATGCACGTTGGCATTTGACCTCTGGCTCTGAAATGTTTTTTCATAGGCCGAAGTAGAGCCTGTTTTTCTCTCTCATAGGCAATTTATGACGGTTGCCGTGTCCCGGGGTCACGTGATCCCCTTTTGCAAGCTGCTGACAAGCAAAGTTTGTGGAATCAGATTCACTTAACAACCGGGTTACTCACTTAACAACTGATTCACTTAACAAACGTGGCAAGAAAAGTCATAGAAATGGGGCGAAACTCACTTAACAAATTCCTCACACAGCAACATAAATTTTGGGCTCAATTGTGTACTGGCTTATCCAGAACCAAAGAGATGATGGTCTCCCAAATGGTTTGAAAGATAAAAATATGGGAATTATTCCTAGCGTAGGGAAGAAAAACAAAGGCCGTGTCAATACCTGAACATGATGTAGCACAGCTGATCCACTGTGACAGAATCCAAGCTAAGCAGTGCTGGGTAGAAAACTCCTGCAGGAGGGATCATAAGCAAAGGGACCTTGTACGTCTGAAACATATCACATACCTAGAGTAGGGAAGGGATTTCGGTGTTCAGTGTTCTGCTTTCAGTACAGTATTTACATATAAAAATTTGAGAGAATATCATATCCTTGTCATCCACATATTCACACTGGGCTCTAATCAATGTGCAAAACTTAATACAGATTTAGTATAGATAAAAAAAAAACATAGAGTAATGAGATTGGCTGGTACTATTGGACCTTTCTCCTGTACAGAAACGTTTGGAATTTTTTTCATCTATTTATTGGAGAAGACCGTTCCAATTGGTGCTACTTAATAGTGTAAATCTTTTAGAGCACTAGATACCAAATGTGTTAGGTTTGAGATACTTCATTTGCTTGAAATTTAGTAAAATCTTCAAATCATTATTGTTTGTAATAGTTTGAGTGTTATGTTTTAAATGTTGTTTAGTTGCTTTTACTGCTATCCTGAGCAGATTCATTTTTTTTGTTTAGGCTCCCTTGGCTGCAATCTTTCTGAAACTGGAGAAACATTGTTCTAAGAAAAAATAATGGGTTCAGTATGAACAAAAGGGTTTGAATCCTTTAAATTCCTTCCTTCCTTCCTTCCTTCCTTCCTTCCTTCCTTCCTTCCTTCCTTCTCTGTCTGTATCCTGCCTTTATTATTTCTACAAATAACTCAAGCGGTGAACATATCCAACACATCTATTGGAATCTCCTCACCAATACTATCAAAGTGCATTATCTGTATGCTTGGAACAAATTTATAGTGAGACTAGCTTACATACTATTTCATAGAAATCCAGAATGAAGTGCATTAAAAAAGCAGAGTTGTTCTCCAAGTGCAGAGCAATGGTTGAAAGCCGGCCAACAAATCGGATGAGTTCTGCTATAGAATTAACCAAGCTTGAAACAGAAGTATTCCTGCAGCAGAACGAGACACAAGCATGAACATTCACATTGGAAATACCTTTTGCGTACAAGTACTTTTTTTTCCATCTTCCAGATGGAAATCATAGTGCAAAACAGGTGGGACCACTTTTTAAAAAGATGATACTTACAGGACATCTACACTTAACTCGGATGACACGTCTGGTTGCAAGAAATGCCAATTCAGCCAGTTTAGTAGCAGTTCCCTCAGGCTTTCAAGAACACTGCACTATGGAGGAACAAGGGCACAAAAAACACATATTGAATAGCTGCAATTCAGTCTTAAGGAACTATGCTGTGCTATACTAATTTTATAGAGAGATGATCGGGAGACAGACAGACCGCAGCAAAAAAGAAAAAGAAAAAAGAAAAAAGACAGCAATCAGAAGACAGTAGTGGAGCAAGAAATTTTTTGCAAAGTCAACAAAATGATAAAAGCATGACTACAGGTAGATATTTTTTTTTTAAAAAAAGGGATTTTTAAGTTAAACGATACTGGATTTGTATTTTTGCTGTTTTTATGGGCAATGTGTTCCCGTTTCTCTTTCCCCCCTAAACCTTGATTCTACCTCATTGCACAAATGTATGCAAGAGAAAACTGCACGCTTCTTTTGGCATAAGTAGCCATAAGTTATTTAGTGAACCCAAATATTGCTTCCTGCAGCTTGGTATAAAAATTGTTAACGTTTTGGGAGAAGGATAGTCGGCAGATGGCACATTCCTTTAGCACAGCATAAATCAAGTTTGTTGTGTCAAAACATCTATTCAGGGGCCCCCTTCATTTACCTTAAAATAAAGAGAGGAGGTGAAAAACAGCTGCATCAACGGCTTGCAGAGATAAGCTTTCATTTCTGAAAGTGAAAAAGCAAAGAGTGGTTTTGAAGGCAGCCGCTCTCGACTGCGGAACAGGGAAAAATTGGCTGGGTCTGCATCGCATACCTGAGAAGGTGCTGAGGGGGATCCAGCTGATCATCTGCAGGACTTGTGACCTACAGACGCAACCATCCCAGAAGGGCAGGCTTTGGTACAAAAATTCTTCACAAGATGAGAAGCCCTCCTGAAAAGCACAAACTCCCATCAGGGAAACCCAGATTTTCTTCCAAGTAGGTTCTCCTACTCCTACTCTCTCCTGGGCAGCCAATTCTTAATTGTCCATATTGAGACAAGACATCAACGGCATCCAGGAAAGGAGACACCTAACATGGAGATGATTCATCTCTGGTATCTCTGATGATACCTCAACCTTATGGTGATGAATAATCTCACCCAGAGGCTTCCTGTGGATTTTAAATAGGAGTGGAGAGAGTACCAAATCCCGCAGAACCCCGCATAATAGGGATAGAGTGTGGGACCTCTCATGCCCAACTAACACTGACTGGTACTGTGGAGTCTCAGCTGATGCCACACCCAAAATCTAGCTGGGCATATTTCCAATAGAAGAACCCTCCCTTTGAACCCAGCCAGGTCAGCCCTCTCACCTGTGATAAAGGAGCCTTTATTAAGGACATAAAGACTGCCACATCAGGGAAAAGGGCTGAGACTTGGGGGCCGGAATGCAGAACTAGTATGAGACACCTGGTCCGCCTTCACTACAAGTGGCTCGCCCCCAGTCTCCCACCATACGTTCCCACATCCATCATAATCTTCCCCAATGCCCCCAACCGTGCCGAGGTCTCTGCGTGTCCCATTCTATGCCCTCTGGTTCCGTGAATAGGGAATCCTGACATTCCAATACATACTCTGGTGACGCAAGGGCAAAAATATTCTTTTGGGAAAGATAATAGGCATAAAACTAACCTGCAAGAAGCATTCCGCTTCCAAAACTGTGCTCAAGAATTCTTTGAATTCCAGTTCGTATTTCTGGTTTTCAATCTTAATCCAAGGGCATTCTGCATTATAAATAAGAAACAGGAGAAAAAATTGTCTGAATAGAATCCTTTCTTCTTCCTTGCCTCTCCGAGAAATAATAAGCCCTTACGTGTGCAAGCAACAGTTTGTGTTTTTAGCATACAGGTAGTCCTTGACTTACAACCACAATCAAGGCCAACATTTCCACTGCTCAGCGAAACACTTGTTGAGTTTTGCCCCATTTTACGGCCTTTCTTGCCACAGTTAAGTGAATCGCTACAATTTTTAAGTTAGTAACTTGGTTGTTAATTGAATCTGCTTTCCCCCTTGACTTTGCTTGTCAGAAGGTTGCCAAAGATAATCACGTGACCCAGGGACACTGCAACGGTCATAAATATGAGTCAGTGGCCAAGCGGCTGAATTTTGATCANTCTTCCAACAAGCGGGATTGGCCTAGGGAATTTTTAGTGGGGTTTTAAGTGAAATTTTAATTATATAGGCCATAGTAAATATTTCTTTTTAATTTGGTTTTAAATTAGTATTTATTGTAGTATCTGTTTTATAAGGCTGTCAGCCGCCCTGAGTCCGGTAAGGAGAAGGGCGGGATAAAAATTGAATAAAATAAATAAATTATGTAATGATGTAATGCAATATAAGGTGGATGATGCAATAATAGGAATGACTCAGCAGGTGTGTGTATCCCTTTAAGAGCCTGAGTATAAAAGGGGAGGCTTTTGCTGCTGTGTTCTCTCTCGTCCGTTTGACTGCTGTAACTGCTGTGTATTGGATGACTACTTGTAATTGATTTTCCCTTAGATGGCACAAAGCACAAGGATGAGTCCCCCTACCTTCTCTGAATGTTTGGCCCAGCCAGTAGTACATCCTCTGGTAAACGACATCATCCGTGACACAATTAATGTAGTGGAGTAACACCCGATTTCCTAACACCGAGCCTATTTGGGAAGGAAGCTATGAAAGCAATCAGGAGAAGACATTGTCAACTAACATGTACTGTAGACAGTGTTGAGCTAATGCTTCTTTGTTTCTTAATCAATTTTTAAACAAACACTCGGAAGCTGCTTTAATTGCTACAGTAACTTAATGGTATTTACTTCTTCAGTTTTGTTTAGAAAACATTTCCCCCTCTGGCTCTAGTTAAAAAAGAAAACTGCCCAGAGTACACATCAAAATGATCAGGAGTGTACAATAATCCTGAATACAAGTTCATGTTTTTACAATACATTGTAACTATCGTGTACTTTCATGTCTTTCAAAAAACTGTGATCCATTTTAGACTTATTTGATGGGCATTAGATTAGCCAGGCATTTATTATTGCAGCCTATTAACAGGCTTCAGGGGGCTAAGCCAAGCCCTTGCGCTCCCCTCCCCTCTGCTCACTTTGATATCAGCCACTTACTTCTAAATATTGCATGTTCTCCAAAAGCTGGGAGAAGTTCTGCAGATGCTGCACGGGGAAGGATTCAGGATGACTCTTGAAATCCTTACGTTTGGCCTTTGAACTCTGAGCCAAGTTCTTGTTACACGCAGGTAACATCAATTTTGGATTCCATTCCTACAAAAAAGCAAAAATCCAACCCTAGCAATTCATAGATATAATTCGATTGTGATCTTATAGTATTACTCTTTCCTAAATATGATTTCCTTAATGGATCATCTCCATCCTTATAAACGCACACAGCTATATTCAATATGGAAATTCAAGGTAGAAGCAAATCAGAGGAGAGAAACATCCAGAGCCTTTGCATACTCAATTGAATTAGTTAAATTAGAAGAAATCAGGAAAATTAAACGATATGAAACCCCCTCCCCCCAATATCTATGTAGAGGTTAAAAGAGGAGAATGAGAAAAAAAAAGATGAAGTATTAAGAAATCAGTTACTATTGTAATGGAACATGGTTGGCAAACAAATTGATCGTGAATTATAAACAGGAACAATCTAAGCGGGAATAGCCTAGAAGGCATTGACTGTCAATACAGCCAAAAGCATCAATGAAAACTTGACACACAATCACAAACTAGGAACTGCATTTAAACAATCTAAAGGAACTTACTTTCTTTGGGGGCTGAAATGCTAAAACTGGCTGAGATGTTGGCGAAAGGCCAGAAATCCGTTGCTTTATGTTACTAATTGCATTTTTCCACAGGTTTTCTGTATTCTTAAATCGCATCTGGGAAGAGGTGAAAGTGAAAGTTGCCTTCATCCAGGATTAAAAAGAGCAGGTTAAACAGCATGTATCTATGTATATGTCTATGCGTGTGTATTCACATGTGGAATTACAGACACACGCAAGCTTTCCTTTTCAAAATGTTTAGATTGGTAAAACAAAGAGTTTGCTGGGCAGAAGACCATTCAACACCATTCAGTGATTACTATTTTCATTAAAGTCATTCATTCATATATATACAATTTTAACGGTACTCAAGTTACCAACTCTTTGGTATAAAGGCAGGGGTCTTCAAACTTGGCCCTTTTATGACTTGTGGACTTCAACTCCCAGAATTCCTCAGCCAGCGTGCCTGGCTGAAGAATTCTGGGAGTTGAAGTCCACAAGTCATAAAAGGGCCACGTTTGAAGACCTCTCGTATAAAGACATGAGATTATTTCAGAAAGGATTGTACAGGAAGAATCTTCATCTTCTGTTTCAAAGTTGGCTCACTCCTCTGGCCTACAGGTTATAACTACACACACATGCACACCAAATGTTCCTTCTTGCAATCATAAAGAACGTAGGAACGTGGGGTGGTCCTCTCACAGAGAAAGCAAAGAATAGCCTCCAATTCAGTCATCATTTCCCTCACCGTTTTGTTTTGTAACAAATCTGAATACACCATGCTTGGCGCAAAGCTTTTATACGTTAAGAGAAGAGCCAGCAACGGAGCTTCTGATCCCTGAGTAAAAATAGGAACAAAAACAAAGTCCAAAGTTAAGTGCTGGGAAAGAATGAAACTAAAGCCCTCTTATTATAACCTACAAATGTAGGAAGCTGAGGATTATTCTAAATCCTGATCTGTGAAAAGAGAAGTAGAATCTAATGATAATCTAGTCTCTACTAACATTAACCCCTGGTGTGCACCCTCTCGTTTATGGATTAAACATACAGGACATTGTTGCTTGCAGAGCAAAGATTGCATTACTTCTCAAGCAAACTCTTAATCAGCAATTAGAACATTAGATCCTTTTATACTGTTATATTACACTTCTTAAAATGTAACTTGCTAGTCATGTAATGATAGATAATGGGTGTCAGTGACTTTAACATATCAATAGTTTTAACTAGATTTTTAAATATATATGTGTGTGTGTGTGTTTTTGGTATTGGTATATATATATATATATATATATATATATATATATATATATATATATATATATATATATATATATATATATATATATATATATATATATATATATATATATATATATATATCAACTTAAGAAATGAAAACTGGGATAAAAAGTGGAAATAAATAAATACTGGATACTGATTAGCTTTTACAATGTACAAAAGCTACCCTGTCGCAAACGTGAGATTTAAATTTTATAAATTGTACTTCACATGACATTAATTTCAAATAACTCACCATCTTGGTTCTTAGATCCAAGAGTCGTCGGACGCGGAAAGGTTTTACTAGAAAGATAAACATTGTCTAATTATTTGATGTTTTAAGAATTTATATTCTGGCCTTGATGAAGCTAGATATAAAAAGGAAAAGGAACTTTTATTCTAAGAGATGAACATACTAGACTTGGGCTAGAATAGCATATATAAGCAAAATTGACTACCTTCTTTATTCTCTGTATTATAATCTTGTAATTTAGAGCACAAAAGATTTGAACAGTTTCTTTTAAAAACAACAACAAAAAAACCCTTTTGCAAGTAATTCAAGTCAACAGAATAGACTAGCAATGAAAAATAAAAAAAATACCTATATTATCTGAAAGCCTTTAAGACAATAAGAAAAAAATACTTTCTTTTGAAAACACATTAGACATTCTGATTCCAATTATCATCTCACCATTTTGTCTTCTGGTCAGCAAATATAGCAGATGGCAGACGAAGGGGCACTACAGAAAAAAATATATCAAAGAAATGTATAATTGGGCACAGTCTATGCTTTACACTTCTCCAAAACAACGTAAGGAGTTAGCATTTCTTTTAAAACTTAGGACACATTAGTGGCATTATATTGGACAATTTGACTTTCAGTACCTTAAAAACATCAGCTTCAGGATCGCAGCAAGCGCTAAACCCCACGACTGGGCTAGCACTGTAAAAGCAGACAGGGTTGGCCCAATCTAGGAGTGATTTTAGGAGTTTCAGGAACTGAAATGGGAGACTTAAACATCTGCAATTCTTTAAATGCCTATTCACTCCTTGCTGTTCCTCCCAATGGGAAAAGGACACATGTTTTTAGATCTTCTCACTCTGAGAGACACAAAAAGCATGGCTGCATGCAGTATGTGGCCCCAGTTGGTATTTTTGTGCCTTAAAAAAAACCTTTCTAATTACCTAATTATACTCCTTTTCCATCAACCAAGGACCAAATCTTTGATTACAACCCAAGTAAGGAGTTAGGCATTACATAGTTCTTTGGATTCCAAGGCAAAAAGTTTGTTGGCATATCAACATAGAAACAGTCTAAAACTCCTTAAAGCTACAGTGTCTTTTAAAGAGCCACAGATTGTGTTGCATTCTTCCTTTGAAGCATTTTTGAATCTGAATCTGCTCATCCCTATTACACAATATCCAGGAAATCTTTTTTTTTTTTAAAAAAAAAAAACATTATTAATTTCTATCTTACCAATTTTTCATCCTGTAAGAAGTTGAAGAAGAACCCATAGAGTGCATTAATCTTTTCTTTATGATCAATGAAATCATACATTGCAATTAACCATTTTAAGAAAAGAACCTAATGGGAAGAAAACAGGAATTGGTCAGTTCATACAAATATGGCTCATAGTATAAGTAATTAGAGCAGAAAGATATAAAAGAACTGTAGACGTCAATAGAATACACTATACTAGTGAAAATATTATTAAGATCCAAGATATCAGTACACGCTTCCCAAGTTACCTGAGTATTACGAGAACATTTGCCAACACAAAGTAATGAAACAGCTGAAACAATTGAATCCTCTGTTATTGCTGAAATGGGAATCAGGCTCTTCAACAGTCGAATGTTTATCACTTCAGCTGGAAGAGATTAATTTTTTAAAAGGGTTAAGTACTGAAACACCCAAGAAACACAAGGAGAAAGATATAGATATATATTTACCAAACTTGCCGCTGAGTGCTATACTCAGCAAGGCATCAATTTCTTCTGGAGTCAAGCCTCTTTCTTGGGCAATCTTTTCCACTCTTAATAAGTGTTTCTGCAAAGCTTCATTCTTCAGGGTAGTATGATCTTTAACTAGAAAAAAAAAAATCAAAACATGAAAGTAAGTGCAATTCTCATGAGTAGCAAGCATCTCACAGGAGAATCTGCCCACTTGCTTACTTCACCATCAAGTTTCACTCTCCCAAAATATTTATTCATTTAATTCAATTTTGAGCCCACCCAAGTCTTTATTGACTCTAGGCAATTTAGAAGAGAAAAATAACACATATAGAAAAGGTCACAATTGACTGGAAGTTTAACTCAGTACCAATAAAAAGAAATAAAACACCAAAATATTTCCTACAAAACGAACCTTCATTAGAAAATGTATCGCTTGTAAAAAGATATTTGTTGTTTACCTGGAAAAGTGTTAATATATACTATGACCAATATGATCCATAAAGAACATCTCACAGTGAATTCAACTATTGAAGGAGGCCTTTATTGAGTGAACATTAAAACTTATGCTACCCATCTATTCTAATAAGGAGCATAAATACATATAGTATAAAGTAAGGTCTTTTTTTTAAAATGTATTTACATTCTTATGTGTGCTGCCAAACCAAGTATTTGAAAACAGCCACAATCTAGACACAAACATCATAGTGCTAATCCAAGATAGATATTTTATCATTTTACAGTATTTGAATAAAGCATCCAATTTAAAATTAATTAAAATAGATAACCATTAAGTTAAGATGTACACAGTAGAATTGTGTTCTGTTGAAAATAATGCACTGCTAAAAGACAGTAATGAAACTCAGGTACACTATCAGATTTATAGTAGCCTTTTTTGATCCAGAGAGACACCTGGCAGATCTGCTTTAGACATTTTCTTTGTTTTAGGGCATTAAACACTTAGCCCTGCTTTTATTCTTACTTTTTCTCAAGAAGATCAGTGCTTCTTCAAAAGGATCCTGGATGGAGTCTGTCTCTTCATTAGAAGATATTTTATGGTCTTTATGTTCCTGGGTACTTTGGCTGCCATTTGCTATCCAGGTGGCTATATCAGTTTGTTTACTAGAAGTAACTGGTAAATTCTGCTTTTGCTTTTTATCACCTACTCTCTTCATCCTTTTCAATTCCAAACATCGAAATGCAAATAGGATCGATTATTTTCATTTGCCAGAAATAACGCTGTGTCCAACCATGTTAAACTGGGGCATCCATACTGAAAGAACTACCTGGAAAAGACAGAAAGCCATCTTTAGATTATAAACTCACAAAAATAATATGATAAAACTAAACTATGGGAATGCATTCCTAAGCAAACTAAAAATAAAACAACTGGAGATAAAAAAGGCTTTTTCTTTGTAGAGAATCTGAAGCTAGGTTTATATATTAATATTGGTACTATTGTTATAAAATAAACAGTCCATATTTATAAACAATTCTATTATAGTATCAGTCTTAAGTAGTGCATTTTCCTACAATTACCCTTATTCCCAGGAGGGGTATTATGGTAACTCTAGTTACAATATATCTTCTATTCATACAATTTATATACAACTCCATTTTTCAGAGGCTCTGAGCAGTTTAGAGTATTATAAAAAAAATTAAAAACAATGATCACAAGAGGATCAATTATTTTTATAGGTACAGACACAAATGATCTATATATTCAACATATGACAGCATTAACAACTACAAGTTCATTGCCAAACACAGCTAAACATACCCAAAGGTAGATTATATTAACCAGAAGATGGGCACTATTATTGGCAGGGAAATATAATATAAATCAAAAAAATAAATAAAAATGATCCCACCAGGGACCTTTTTAATCTCCTCCTGCTAATGCTGAGTCCCAGCTCCTTTCATCTTTACAGGCAGGTTACTGCTTGCCTCTGACTGATCTTCAAAGGGAAAGGAACTTAAATAAAATCTGCAATTTATCTGCTTTTCTAGCCAGCAACTAATGAAAGTCAATTCTGGGGCCACACATATTTTTTTATTTTAATTCAGTACTCTCCACTACGTCAGTGGCAAATCTATGGATTACATCTCTCCCTTTCCCAGTCAAGTTTGCATTTTTAACAACAACAGGACACAGTCGGAAGAGACCTTGGAGGTCATCTAGTCCAACCCCCTGCTCAGGCAGGAAACCCTATACCACGTCAGACAAATGGTTGTCCAACCTCTTCTTAAAAACTTCCAGTGTTGGAGCATTCACAACTTCTGGAGGCAGATTGTTCCGCATATTTGCAAACTGCATTCAAGGATTTCCAGAATCTTGTTGTTTAAGGCAATCCAGAGAAGAAACACGGCTTTGATGAACGGCACAACAAGCCTTTCTGAACCTCATAAACAAGACCTGGAGGCCAGGCTATCCATCACCTTGTTTAAAATGCTAAATCGGGGAGCTTAACAGGCCAGGCGAGGATTGGATGATGGGAGTTGTAGTACACACACTGCCTAGAGAAGGCACAGGGGTGGGAGAGGCCCTTTCACCTTGCAAAGGGTGTGGGTCTATACATACGTTGTACATAGTATGTTTAGGGTGTGTGTCGTGTATGGGTTTCGCTTTGAGAGCGGGCAACTAAATTTCATTTTTGATGTGTGCCCTTGTGCCCACAGTAAAAAAAAAATGACAATAAAGGTGATCTTCTTGTGGAAAACGAAAGAACTCTTACGAATTCCAGAGGGGTTTAGCAGAGAGGTTTATTTGCGCAGGTTCAGAGGCATATTAGAGACAGGCAATTCTGAACAAGGAGGGCGGGATTAGACTTCAGTTTTTATACTTCCCTTCTTTCAGGAACAAAGGGACCACACACGATAATACACTGTGATACATTAGGATCGTTTCTCACGGGCATACAATGGAAGGTTTTGCTACGTACAAAGTATCCACGTGCAATGCGCAATTGGTTAGCCACATATTACTGACACAGAACTTTCCCAGTGAATTTTCCCAGTGATTATGCACGACCTCATTATTCTAGCAATTATGCAGACACATCATTATTGCAGTTATGCAGACAAATCATTATTCTAATAAGGGTTCATTTTACTACGTTAGGTCTATCCATACGTTGCACATAGTATGTTTAGCTGTGTGTCGTGTATGGGTTTCGCTTTGAGAGCGGGCAACTAAATTTCATTTTTGATGTGTGCCCTTGTGCCCACAGTAAAAAAAAAAATGACAATAAAGGTGATCTTATCTAGGGGGGAAGGGGGGGGAGAGAAGGGGGGGCTGGGCTGCCCTCCAGGCACCTTCCTCGTGTTATTATCCGGTCTGTCCGAGTTTAAAGGACCCCTCCCCAAACCAGAAACAAAGCAATCGAGCCCATTGTCCACTCTGGTGTTTGAGCCCAGCCCCAAAGCCGGCTCAGGCCTTGTAGCTGCCCCCGGGCAGGGTGTCGGGCCGGCGTTACCTGGGCGCAGGAAGGTATGCGAGGCCCCGGGTGTCGTCTGAAGGCAGGGAACCCACCTGGCAGAAGACACGTCAGTTCAGACAACCCCGGGGCAGGATCCCGGGTGCAGAAGCCCTCGGGGCGCCTCTTCACCCGGCCGCTCCGAGTCCAGCCAGGCGTCCCGCCGTTTGGAGATCGCCGTCTCCCCGCTTCCTCCCTTCTGCCCCACCGGGCCTCGGGCCCTCCTCGATCAGCTCCGGCCGCCCTCCGATTTCCGTCCCCCCCCCGGCGCGAGCCGCCTCAGGGCCTACCTGGGCCGCTTCGCTGTCACAACAACCGCCGCGATCGATTTCTCTCTTTAACCGCCGCCCGTTCAAATTTTCTTTTTGCCCCGCCCACGCGCAGGCGCACCTCCTCGTCCGGGCGCCAGAAAGGGCTCCCATTGGCTAGACGGCTCCCACCGTCGGCCCGAGCGCCGCTGATTCGCCGTGGGCACGCGCAGGCGCGCTTTCTCTCGCCTTGACTAAATTTCAGACTGCTGGAATTAAGGAGGATGAGGTCATCCGAGTCTCCGGAGCGGTTGTGAAAGGAAAGTGCGCATGCGCGCCCGTTGGAGTCATTTACTCCAAGCCGGATAACTAACTGCAAAAAATTGGTTTTGTTGTCGCTTTTGGCTCTGAATGAGCTGATGGGCGTCCTTTTGCTACGATTATGGGTCCAGCGGTAACTGCATGCTTTGAATTCTTCTGCGAGTTTCGTTAATGGTGGCTTCTAAATAACCTTATTTTTTTTTTATTTTTCTCAAGTATAGGTACATCTCGGCTTGCAAGCATTTATTTCATGACGGTTCAAAGTTACAAAGGCACTGAAAAAAAGAGATTTTTGTCACTTTTTCATACTTACGGCCATTGCAGCATTCCCCAGGGTCACATGATCAAAATTCAGCCGTTTGGCAACTGACTCGTATTTATGACGGTTGCATTGTCCCGGGTGCATGAGATCTCCTTTTGCGACCTTCTCACTAGTAAAGTCAATAGGGAAGCCAGGTTCACTTAACTAATGTAGTAAAATGAACAATAACTAGAATAATGATTTGTCTGCATAATTGCTAGAATAATGATGTAATGCATAATCACTGGGAAAATTCACTGGGAAAGTTCTGTGTCAGTAATATGTGACTAACCAAATGCGCATTGCACGTGGATACTTTGTATGTAGCAAAACCTACCATTGTATGCCCGTGAGAAACGATCCTAATGTATTACAGTGTATTACCATGTGTAGTCCCTTTGTTCCTGAAAGAAGGATAGTATAAAACTGAAGTCTAATCCCGCCCTCCTTGTTCAGAATTGCCTATCTCCATTATGCTTCTGAACCTGCGCAAATAAATCTCTCTGCTAAACCCCTCTGGAATTCGTAAGAGTTCTTTCGTTTTCCACAAGAATTTTGGCACCTCCAGATGGGACTCTTATGAAGAGGCTGTTGACCTGCCAGACGGACTGCCCTGGGGTGGTGCTTCACTTAATAGCCAAGGCAAGGAAGGCTGTAAAATGCGGGCAAAGCTCACTTAACAACTGTCTTGCTTAGCAACAGAAATGTTGGACTCAGTTGTTGTAAATTGAGGACTCTCTGTATCAAGGTCTTATTAGAATAGAATAGAATGTCTTTATTGTGGTTATATGACTCAGTGAAATTAAGTATTATTAGTGCTTCAGTGAGCAGCCTGGTGTTATTCATCTGTTCTAAATGTTTTTTTTTATAAAAAAATAGCATTTGGTACTGTATGTTATTCTCACCATTTTTCTGCCGAATCACCTTTCAAAAGCATAGTTTTCCCTTTGTTTAGCCTTTCCGACGATCTGCAGATTTCACAACCATGTTACAAGTGGGAAAATCACAATTCGCCAATATTCACCTTTCTTGCCAGTGTGATGATGCCTTGTTCTTATTTTGTCTAGATCGGTCATCCCCCCCAGTAGATATATTTTTATTTCATGACTAAGAGTCACCATTATGTTTGTTACAGTATGAGATAAAGTTTGAAACCTTTTCAACTTCTTTTCCGACTGTTTGTACTGGACTGGCATTATCTGTGGACGTATTGCGATGGCAATGGAGGACACCTGCTTTTTCATTCCTTCTTCAAAAAAGCTAGATTTTAGAAGCTCTGGGGCAAAAGGAGAATAAAAGGTGAAAAACCAAGCTGGAAGGAACACTTTTTATAAGCAGCTTTTCCCAAACAGATGCTCCACAGATATGTATTAATCTCTGGCATACGGATTGAGATTAAGGGCATTGCAATCAACAGATCTTCATCACCAACAAACACTTGATACTCTCCAATTTGATGGAGCTCCTCCTCCTGTCCCAACACAACCAAATTATTGGGGGAGTAAGAGAGTTTTAGTTCAAAATAGCTGGACAGCCTGAGGCCAAGTAAAACTGTTTTCTAAGCACTCTTATCCCTCCCATCAGAGACAGAAAACTTATCTATAGATCTGCTAGAGAGAAATTCCCTGAAGATGGGCACCAGTATGAGTCCAAAAAGTTGGAAGAGAAAACATCTGGTCCCAGTGACTGACCCAGATTGAATCCTGCAACATTATCCTAGATCTAGGACACGTATATTCTCCTTCATTAGTGACAGAAAACCTAATTTCTCACCCGTTCTCTTTGCTGTTATTTCTGAATTACAGGTAGTCCTTCACCTACAACAGTCCATTTAGTGACCATTTGAAGTTGCAATGGCACTGAAAAAAGTATCTTATGACTGGTTTTCACACTTACAACCATTGTGGCATCTGTATGATTATGCGATTAAAATTCAGATGCTTAGCAACAGATTCATATTTATGATGGTTGCGGTATCCTGGGGTCGTGTGATCACCTTTTGTGACCTTCTGACAAGCAAAGTCAGTGGGGGAAGCCAGTTGCACTTCACAACTATATTACTAATTTAAGAACTGCAGTGATTCACCTAAGAACTGTGGCAAGAAAAGTCATAAAATGGGGCAAAACTCATTTAGCAGATGTCTCAGCAACGAAAATTTTGGGCCCAATTGTGTCCGTAAGTTAAGGACTACCTGTATTCAGATTTCATAATATATAAGCAGGATTACCGAGCTTTCTTACAAAAACCCACAGAGAATTTCCTCAAGACCAATTTGCTTTCATTTAATTCTCTAATCCCAAATTCAAATTTGATCTAAACTGCAAATCTTTGGTCACACTCAAAAAGCAAGTTTTTGGACACTGAAGGAGTAAAGCATAAGTGTAGAAACAAACCCTATTAGATCCAGTGAGGTTTACTTATGAGAAAATGTATACAGGATTTCAATGCATGAGTTCCTTCTACAAAAGTACATTAAGATGTCCTTTTTTTCAATTTGCAGAAAACATTTTATACACTGAATGTTTAAAATTGTGTTACTGTTTTTCAAATGGCCAAATATTCGGTAAAAACTGGGTAGTACTCAGTGAACAAAATTCTGTTCGATATTTTATATCCAGTACTTTAGGTTCAATTTGAGTTAATAGTGAAAATATGCCTTTCAATTGCTTTTAGACCCAAAGTATAGCAAACGGCATATTTGCATACAAGCGCAAACTTTTCAGTACATTGGACAGCAGTTTTGTTCAGCATTGCTCAAAAACTTCGTGAATGGCATACAGCACGTAAAAGCCATTGCAACTTTTTGCCAAATATTTCAGAAAATTCTGTGGGATTGTCAAACCTTCGTTATTCCAGATCAGTTGAACTCACCGCAGAAAATTGATTATAATCATCATGATTGAGAACCTCAGAGATTCCAACCGAAGTTTCAAATGACCCAGAGAGACAGTACTTGATTTTATTTAATGCTTGGCCTTTGCAGATAGAGTTAGAATCTCTTGACATATTGGCCACTGTTCTACGGGGTAAGATGGCATGGAAAAATTCAGACCTACCTTTTCCCTCTTAATCTTGATATGAACGTACATCAGTATTTTCTCTGTGCAGTAGTGGAAAGAGGGGGTGGTCATATTTCACCGATCATCCGCAGAATATATTTCAGTGTAGAAAAATGCCTGCTGCTTGTAGAGAATCTTATATCCCTGATGCATGACAACTTGACTGATCATGCAGTCATTTTAACAGTGATTTCTTGGAAGGAATATTTGCCAGAACTCATTGATTGGGATAACAGGCAATCTAGCCCCATATTTTTACATATCTCTATGGTCACAGGCATGCATGTGCTTCATGATGTCATGAGCACATGTTACAAATGATGTGCCATACACCATCCCTATCTTGATGGATACTTCATGTTCTCCCAAACACCTTTGACTGTGCTCTTTTTCATTTTGAAACATTGCCCTTTAGGGCAGTGATGGCGAACCTTTTAGAGACCGAGTGCCCAAACTGCAACCCAAAACCCAATTATGCATGGTCGGGTGCCGGGTGGGCATGGCCCATTGGCTGGATGTGGCCAATTGGGTGGGTGTGGCCCATTGGGTGGGTGTGACCCATTGGGTGGGCGTGGCTGCGGTGGTAACGGCAGACTGGGTGGGACTAAAAAGTTCAATCAACCAATTCCAACTTTGCAAGATCTTTTCTTTTCCCCCGAGAAGTTGAAATTGATTGATTGAACCTTTTTTTTGGGGGGGGGACACGGCAGTGGAGGCCTAAAGCGAAAAGGTTTTATAAAACCCAGCTGAAGGCCTAGGACTGGAGCGATGGCGCACGTGCCCACAGAGAGGGCTCTGAGTGCCACCTCTGGCACCCGTGCCATAGGTTCGACACCACTGCCTTAGGGTTTATTCTGACCACTTCTCAGATCTCATTTCAACACATTTGAATATGTTCAAGTAGAATTGAGCGCAATTACCTATTGGGGTAGTTGCGCCATTGTAGCCACACATGAAGTGGTGCAGACATATATGTAAAGAATTGCAACGTCCCATGATTTTAAAAAGCAAATTTCCTCCAAATTTCAAAAAGTTTATTTTTATAAATTGGGTAAGGGCTGGGGAAGAGAAGCACAGGAGGGGAATGCGAACCAGACAATATGAATAAAGCAACATATATATATATATATCTATTTGTTTTTTAAGGTTTTCACGGGTGTTTATATGTGAGTCTTTGGTCATTCGGGTTTTCTCCCGTGTAAGATTAGAAGTATCATAGCGACGTTTCGATGAAATCACATTCATCATCAGCTAAAAGCACAAGCCTGATGATGATGAATGTGATTTCATCGAAACGTCGCTATGATACTTCTAATCTTACACGGGAGAAAACCCGAATGACCAAAGACTCACATATATCTATTTATATATAGCTTTTTAAAAATGTATTTCTTTTGATAGTCGAGGCTTGCCTTTCGTGTTCATCCCAAGCTGAACAATAAAAAAAAACCTCTCAGTAACAGAGATCTTACAATGTTTTGGCTTAAGAGAGAGAGAGAGAGAGACCTATGCAGAATAGAAAATTGATTGCACTCTTAGCATCACTTGAGAGGAATGTTGCTCAATTTTGGAGGCTTTAAGATACGTGGACTTCAATTCCCAGAATTCCCCAGCTGGCCCTGTTGGGCAGTTGAAGTCCACACATCTTCAAGCCGCCACGTTTGAGAAACATTGCCTTACTCTGTGATTCTTGTAATGGCCAAAGAGGTGGATTTACATAGGGACAGATAATGAACAGCCTCTGATCTTGGGCCAACAACCACACAGACAGACTTGGGAGAGAAGAGGCCTGATGGATTGATGACTGTCTCTGCAGGATCCTTTATTATCTGCTGAGAAAGGGTGGGTGGGTGCATGCATTGTTTGGCGCAGGTGAACCAGGAGAGTGAACGAACAAAGACGGCGTTGGGAATTTTGTTTTTCTTCCCAGCCTTTCTGCCCCTGAAGGACCGCATTTGGGTACAGAGTCAATTCAGGCAAAGCAATTCAGCTGTCCACCTCTTTCCGCACACACGCACACGGATACACAGATGCACGTGGACACTTAACACACTCGACACAAAGGGACACTTATTTCGTGTTTAGATCCAATACATGACGACGACACACTGGTGTGCGGGAGGTGGAGGGCTATAGCAGAGGGCAGCTGTAGAGGTTCCGAGTGCATCAGCCAGGTTGAAATTTAACCGGCTACTTGAAGGATCTCCCCATGCGCCACCATGGAACCCTTTCCAAAACCAACCAACCAACCAATCAAGGACAAAAAGAAACAGGTTGCTCTGTTGCAGGCATTCTGCTACAGAGAGCTGCAAAGAGGGTCCATAGGTCCCGTACAGAGGCACCCACTAGGAGACTTTGATTTTGCCCTTGTCTGGGGCTGCGTCTGCCAGCGACTGCTGCTCTTCCCCGTTCACTGTCAGGGTCCTCTTCTCTGGAGGCTGGTCCTCAGGCTGGCGTGCAATCAGCAGGCGGCAGGTGAGCAGGATCCCAAAGACCAAGGCGTGGGCGTAGCGCTTGAGTGGGTCACCCACGAGTTGATGAAAGAAAAGCACGGCCAACACAAGCAGCAACAGCACAAAGTTGGCCACATCTTTGGGGCGGCCTGGAACCAGGGTCATGACGATCCCGCAGGCCACCTCCAGGGCTCCAATGCTCTTGCGGAGGATGATGGAGCTGACCCCCATCCTCTTCAGCATGGGTAGCGCCCTCACATAGGTCTTGTAGGCACGCTTCTGTAAGCAAAAGGACATGAGCAGAGCATTCGTGACTGGTCTGGACCTGAGTTATTGGTTTATTTCACCCAGTGGAGCACAGTTTGGATCAGCGTAGATCCAGTCAAGCAGGAAACCTCAATCTTATCCCACGAAGGGAGGAAACGGACAGTAATGGACGCAGTGATCTTCTTTGGTGGGTGTTTTGTATGATGGGGTTGGAAAAGAGGACTATAGCTCAGTGGTAGATTACCTAGTCTAGATGAAGGAAGTCTTAGATTCTAACTTCTCCAGATGGAGAACTTCCTACTGAAATCTTGCATTGGTGTAGTCAGTAGACAATCTTGGGATGGATGGATGGATTGAAGGATGGATGGATGAGTTAATCATAAAATAATTTCTTCAGCTCCTAGGGATGGCTAATCAAGGAGAGAAGCAACCTAGAACTAAGGAGAAACTTCCTGACAGTTAGAACAATTAACCAGTGGAGCAACCTGCCTCCAGAAGCGGTGAATGCTCCAACACTGGAAGTTTTTAAGAAGAGACTGGACAGCCATTTGCCTGAAATGGCATAGGCCAGGGGTAGGCAACCTTGGCTCTTTTATGACTCGTGGACTTCGATTCCCAGAATTCCTGAGCCAGCCACGCTGAGGGGAAGGGGAGAGGTTTCCAAGCTGAGCCATGCTGGCTCAGGAATTCTGGGAGTTGAAGTCCACGAGTCATAAAAGAGCCAAGGTTGCCCACCCCTGGGATAGTTTCCTGCCTGAGCAGGGGGTTGGACTAGATGACCTCCAAGGTCCCTTCCAACTTTATTATTATTATTATTATTATTATTATTATTATTATTATTATTATTATTATTATTATTATTATTATTTATTATTATTATTATTATTTGAGCTATTGAAAACCATTTTGAATATTTATGTGGAGTATAAAGATTGGGTGTGTCCAACTCACAGCCCATGGCTGCATGTGGCCCTGAACTGCTAGTAATGTGGTCCCACAAGATAACAAAAATACAAAAAAAATAAAGTAAGTTTGCTAACTATATTTTACATGCAGCCCAAATGATTCTTCTTCGCTCAATGCAGCCCAGGCGAACTAAAAGGTTGGAGAATTGTGCTACTACCAATATAACTTATTTGAAAGAAAAATCTCTTCCGAATCTAGCTGAGCTCTTGACTTCATTGACAGGCAGTTTTCCTGAGAACTGCATGAAGATGATTCATCTTTGCCTTTACTCGGGATTTTTTTTTTTCCCCTGACTTCCCACTCCAGCTTTTTACCCAAACATCCCTGGGAGTTTCCCATCCAGCATGGCTTCCAAAATCAGACAAAAGCCGGAGGATGCCACCTGATGAAGCAACTACATCAATAATGTCATATATCCTGACAGGTTACCAGTGTGGAATACAACATAATATAAAGTTATGAACACACCCTTGTTGTTACAATCTCTGGCCAAACAGCGTCCAGCTTAAGGAATGGAATTGTATAAAAAACAAAACACACTCCATCAAATGACTCCTGGGAAAATAAATTGGATTGGGTGGGCAAATCAACAGAATGTATTCGAATGCGTGTGCGGATAAATTAACTGCATTAGAGGAACTCTTGTAACCGTTAGAAAAAATGATTGCACAGCTACAAATATGGGAAAGCAACCCAGACTTCCTAAAGCTGTAAAACTCTTTTTGTTTTTTTTAGATAAGGTGGAAAATAAGAAAGAGCAATTAAATCTCATCTGAAAACCTGCAATGCTGGACATCATTTCATAGCAACGCACTGAAAAACGCTGTGCCATAGTGCTCTTCTTCATACAACATGTTAAGCTATGACATGCCTAACTATGGTTTAATGAGTACAGTAACACACAACTGGCTGGTTCGTGCAGTAAGTCAAAGCGTAATCTGTGCCTTTCAAACCACAGTGGCGGAGTTCAGACAATATACTAAATCACAAACAAGCACCCGTATCTTAGTTGAGAATGAGATATGTACCCCGCCCAAGAGGCATTCGTTCATCCTGAGAAGTTGGTTCCATTTTTTCTGCCGGCCCCAATGACTAGATTTATACCTTGTGTATAAATACCTTCATTTGTGAGCTTAGCCACAACGGAATCCTTACATCGCACTATGCCCTCAAACATATTTTGCAGATCACAAGAGAGATTGTGTCAGATAACTCAAAGCCAAACCGTACTACATTAACACAATGTGTGAACCGGACGAGTACAGCAATTAGTGAAATGAATATTTGTTACAACGCCAGTGCAAATGGAACCAATTCAAAAGGAAGAACCAATTCAGTTGGCCAGTGGTATCAAGCTCTTGGAAATACAAATAAAGATAATACTTATCGGGGTAAGGAAAAAAAACAACAACCCAAGGAGGATCTGAAGTTTACAAGCAGCCTGATATTATATAATATCTCTAGGATTTTATTTTATTTTATTTTTGCTTTTCAAAGCCCTTCAAATGCCTCTGTACAGAGAGTCATTCGTGTGATATTTAGGGCAGTAGCAAGACAAGGATGGGAAGGGAAGGGAAAGGAAGAGAGGAGAAGAGAAGAGAAGAGAAGAGAAGAGAAGAGAAGAGAAGAGAAGAGAAAAACCATACTAGAAAGTTCCACTACTGTTTATCCACAGAAATTACACATTTGACCATTTCGATAATAGCATATATGAGTGAGCATTACTGCATTATGAGTGACCTCCTAGAAGAGACAAAAAAAAAAAAGAAACCCCTTCATGGTTTGGCTGTCTGCATTGCCACACAACTGGATCTCACCACGATTCCTTAAGGAGAGAAACAAAAAACAAAAAATAGAAAGAGCTGGAAATAGACCTGCTTTTGGATGGAAAAGGATTGCCTCTCTCCTTTCAGCTCCATAGTCCAGGCTGATGGAAGACCCTGGCTTGTCACGTTCTAGAAGCTTCTCTGAGGGGAGAACATTACGTTTCTGTGTCGGGCTGCAGGCAGCCTGAGCCATGTGGCTGCCTGTAACAGGTTATCAGGACACGGAGGCCAAATAATGAGACTATTTGTGACTCTGTCACAACAACGCTGGGCTTCTTCTAGATTTCTGGGGGCCGCCTTCCCCTCGCCCTAATAAGCAAACACTTAGGGGTGGAAGAAGTTCTCTTCTGTACCAGTCAAAGATGATCCATCAGTAGCCTGGTGCTATCTCATCCCCTTCCAACACCCAAACCGTTTAATCTCTCCCTTTTCTTCCTTCTGGAAACAATAAGGAAGTCCTTTTTGCTCTAGAATGTCTTTCTATGCTCCTGAATGGTTGCCTCTTCTACAGCCTACCAGTTTTTTCTCCCTCCTCATCGGATGGTGGGGGAAACTGCCTTAGGAAGAAGGGAATGCCAGAGGAATCTTGCAAACGGAAGGTGGGAGAGATTCCTGAGCAAAGGAAGAGGAGAACAGCGCGTGGAGGGTTGGGTGGTATTCCCGTCCCCTTTTTGCACCTCTCCAACCTGTCAATTGTGTCAAAGCTCCTACCGTAAGATTGCTGCCAGCTGGCAAAATGTCTCCCCCCACCACAACTGCATTTACTCACCATCTCATTGTGAGCATCCTTGCTCAGCCTGGGGGTCAGTTTGATGGTCCCCATAAAGACGAAGAAGAGGCCCAGGGCCACCGAGAGGGCCACGATGGTGACAGTTCGGGGGGAGGCCATTCGGATCAGGATGCTGCGGCTTTTCCCCCCGGACTCTGATCCCTCGGCTATGCAAGGGATGGTCAGTCACCATGGAAGGAGATGGGGAGCGGAAGGCTGCAGAAACCCGGAGGATGACACAAAGCAGAGAGGGGGATGCCTCTTCGGCTCAGCCGCCTCTGGGTCCTAACGTCCTGCTTTTTTCACAGCGTTGGCAAGGTGACATCTGCTAAACAAGAGGCAGGGAAGGCTGTGGAAGTGGCTGTGGGAGCTTGTCATGGCATCCACCCACTGACATTTCTGTCGTCCATGCAAGAAAGCTGCAGAACCGTTGGATGCCCACTGAGATGGTTAAGTCTGGGAAAAATAGCTCTAAAATAATTCCATACTACTACTACTACTACTACTACTACTACTACTACTACTACTACTACTACTACTACTACTTCTTCTTCTTCTTCTTCTTCTTCTTCTTCTTCTTCTTCTTCTTCTTCTTCTTCTTCTTCTTCTTCCTCCTCCTCCTCTTCTTCTTTTCTTCCTTCTCCTCCTCTTCTTCTCCTTCTTCTTCTCCTTCTCCTCGTCCTCCTCTTCCTCCCCACCCCCTCCCCTCTTCTCCTTCTTCCTCTTCCTCCTCCCTCTCCTCCTCCCCCTCCTCATCTTCTCAGCAGCTAAGTGACTATTCCATTCTAATATATTATGTAGCAGTCTTTAATATGCCACAAGACTCTTCATTTTGCTACAAAACACTTGCAGCTGTAAAGTCCTACTCTACAGTCCTCAGAAACTGACCACATTTCCCTCGGTATCAGCCAGTCTGCTGCCCATTTCCCACCCACCCCTGTGAAACCGAACACATTAAAATTGGCAGAAAGAAACTTGGCCTCCTTCAAATTGACTCAATAAATCGGTGGGATTGATTGCAATCCATGCTGTGCCCTGTTTGTGGGCAATACTGAGTGACCGAAGTTCACAGATATGCCACAACTGTATAATTACAAAGATAATTATCATTCTGGTGCTAGAAACACATAAATTCCTATTATTGAGTTAGAATAAGCACAGGCAGTTCCAAAGTGGTCACCAAAATGAACCGGCCACGGTCATTTTTTTTAAAGACTGGTCTTCATCTGGTCAAGGGTTCTCATAAATGGTCATCCAAAATATTCCTGCCTATTCATGGAGTAGATATCAGCGAGCTTATAAACTAGCTCAAGGTATCGGCATTAACACTCAAAGTGATGAGTCCCAAATATTCAAAAAGGATCTCCTTTATGAGTAATTTGGACAGGAGCGTCTATAGCATGGGGGGGGGGGGTGTCAAAATGCCAAGATGACAACCTCAAGCTATGATTAAATGTCAGCCTCAATAGGTAGATCAGATTAGGAAATCAACTCTACAGGAAGGCTAAAGGTACTCTTATTGAAGTTGACAATAATAACAGAATCTTAGAAATCTAATTGTGCTGCACTGCCTCTTCCTTCTTATAAAGGTAAAGGGTTTTCCTGTCTAGTTGTGTCTGACTCTAGGGGGTGGTGCCCATCTCTGTTTCTTAGCCGTGGGAGCCAGTGTTATCCGAAGACACTTGTGGTCATGTGGCCAGCACATGAATAACAGCACATAACAGCACATGGAACACTGTTATCTTCCCATAGAAGTGGGACTTATTTATCTACTCGCATTTGATGCTTTCAAACTGCTAGGTGGGCAGGGGCTGGGGCAAGGAAGCAGAGATCATCCTGTCGCACGATGCTTGGGTTTTGAATCCGGACTGCCAGTTTCCCAGCTGACAAGCTCAGGGTCTTTAACCACTGAGCCATCATGCCCCTGTTCTTCCTTCTTATACGCCACTGAATTAGGGAATTTTGTATAGGCAACAGATCCTGCATATCTCTATCAAGATCCTCTTCTTTTTTCTATACATCAAAATCCTGTCTCACCTATTTTTATCTCCCTGACCGTTTGGACATTTTAAGTTTTGTTTGTTAGTCCTGCTCCATGTTTCTTCCGTTAGCAAGGCAGTGAGAAGCATAGCCCTTATGATGGAAATCCATAAACATTACGAATTCCTTCCTACTTGGAAACAGTTTGGTATCCTCTCCCCTTTCTTATCAGGAAGACCTAAACACTGAGTGATTTTATTGTCCCGGATTCAAACGCTGCCATTTTCAGACAACGTTTTCTTCCTAGGAAGCTGGCCAACTCTTTGGAAGTAACGTCTTCAACCACAAAAGAAGCCTGAAGACTGGGTAATGATACGCATAACCATTAATGGGATTTTGGATTTTGTTTGCAGAGTCTGAAAAGGGTTGCTAAATTTTCAAAGCTACTTTAAGCCTGTCCAAAGGTTTACACTACCCTTTTTGTGCATTTGTGCCTCAAAATGGAAGGAAACCATGCCACCCATGTACGGTGGCAATAATCATAAGGAGTTCCAAGAGAGAATTTGGGAAATATTTATGGGTTTGGATCACAAACTGATTATCCTGTAGTGAAAAGAGCTTTACTTGAAGAAGAAAAATCCGGGAGTGAGATAAAGAATGTTACTAAACACATTTTGATTTTAGAGAAAGCAAATTTCTGGGGTTTGTTAGAATTAAGGTTGCAACACTGCATAAATCATTTACAGAATTTACTCAGCCCAAACTGGTTTGGTTTACTAACAAAGGCATTCATCTGGCAATTGAATTTTTATTATTTCAAAGTTGTGAATATAGGACTTAACTGAACAGCAGGTGGCAGACATATTCTTAGCAAAAAAAAAAAAATCTGAATACTTTTCAAAAGATCTGAGAGAAGCTGAGTCTTGTAGTTTTTTATCAAACCTTTATCGCATTTTCATTGCTGGCTTGTTTTGCACAAGGAGTCTGTTTTTCTCAACGTAAGGATTGTCAATAAGCTAAGCAAACACTGAAATTCTACTCACTGGATATTCCCATTTCTTGATAGGCATTGCCTGTCTCCCTTTTCAATTTATGTTCATAGAGGAAGAGATAGAGGTAGAAAATTGAATGATTACTCACAAGATTTCAAATTTTAGATCTGGTAGATTTCTCCACATGCCCAGTGGTCACAGAATACAGTAGGCATCCATTTAGATCCTTCTGTGAAATAGACACCAGAACAAAGTTAACTGTAACTTTGATTTTAAATTTCACTGTTTTATCACTCTCGGGTGTCTAATTTGACTGGCATTGTACCAATCGTGAAGTTACTCATGAAACTGCTCAATGAAGCAAAATGCTTTTAAAAGTAAGAAGCTTTCTGCCGAAACATATACGAACTTAATGCAGGCTTCCTAGGCGATATTCTGGGGATGTGTCAGGAATATCGAAAGAAAGTAGTGCAGTAAAAGAAAAATCGTTAAACGAGAAGGCCGACCACCGAGGAGTTTCCGTCTAAACCTCTATAATAGAAGAGATAATGTTTTCTGTCTTGTTGATTAAGTAGAGAAAAAGGAGTCGGTGCTCGGAGTAGTAAATAGTTAATTTTGTCGTGATTACCGTCAGGACAGTACAAGATTCACCGGATACAAGGAAGCCAATCAATATTTTCCAGCAGATATAATGTTGCACAGAACCGGATCTCGACTCTTGCCTCAGCTGTGCATCCAGTTATAGTTTTGCAGAGAAAATAACCTTTTTCTGTAGACTTAAGGTTCACTCTCTTTTCCTGCAAGACTATAAATAAGTCCTGAAAGATACGGTAAGTCACACTGCATAACTGTAACATTATAAAGCACAGGCAAGATGTTGGCTTTCTGAATAAGAGAGTTCGAAGGGACCTTGGAGGTCATCTAGTCCAGAGCTTTTCAACCTTTTCACCCATTGTACCACTTTTAGGATATGGCAGTATCCGAGTACCACCAGTCGCCTAGCAAGGTGTCAAAAACTTGATGACCAAAAAAAAAAGAAAAGGGGGGGAAAGTGATAAAGTACAGGTAGTCCTCGACTTACAACACTTCGCTTAGTGACTGTTCGAAGTTACAATGGCACTGAAAAAAGTGCCCCCCAAGCCACAGCCGAATAAGACACCTGCCTGCCCACCCAGACGCACTCTTCCTCCTGTCCGAGGTTTCCATTGTTGTGAGCATTTCTGTTGAGGATTGGGAGCGGGGGTGGGGTGGGAGGGTGTTTGGTTTTTATTCCCCCCCCTCCGTCTGCTGGATGGTTGCAGCAGGTTTTGGTCACTTCACATGACCCTGGGACACTGTGACCGTCATAAATATGAATCAGTTGCCAAGCATCTGAATGTTAATCACAAGACCCTGGAGATGCTGCAACATTCCAGCTGATCGGCGCTTTGTCTGGGCTCAGCAGAAACACCAGGATCAGTGCCGAGCTCCAGCTAGAGCCTGGCGCTGATCCTGGCGCTTCTGCTGAGCCCTGACAGCCCCGAACAAGCACCAATCAGCTGGAAAGCGGCACTGATCCTGGTGCTTCTGCTGAGCCCTGACAGCCCTGCAGCTCCAGCCATCTCTCGCTTAGGCTTGTGCGGTGCTGCCACTGGTTCAGTTCATTCCCCTACCCCACTACCACTTTTCTAGGATGGTCGCGTGCCAGGTACCACAGGTGGTACCCGTACCACTGGTTGAAAAGCCCTGTTCTAGTTCAGCCCTCTGCTCAAACAGGAGACCTATACCATTTCAGACAAATAGCCGCCCAATCTCTTCTGTTTAAATAAATCTTGCAAAACAGGGCTAGTCTTTTTCTGTTGTGTGGTTCAGAAGCTTATCTTAGAGTGTAACTAATTTCTACCGTTTTTGCAACTTGCAGCCTTTTATTACAGATCTCTGTTCCTTCAAACATGTTGGAAGGGATACCTTGTGCCTTCTGCCACAATACACAATATTTACCGTTGAGGTGGGGAGGAAGATAGGAAAGGAAAGAGCACAGCAGTTGCATAGATATGCTCTTTAGGGCCATAGACAGGGGAACTAATCCCTCTTTGAGGAAGATGGGTGGTTTAGAAATGTGAAATATAAAATAAAATAATATCAGAATATCAGAAAGTCAGGCTAAAG